CCCGCCAATGCAGCAGTGCCGTCCGTCCGTTTTTTTACTACGGGCGGACGGCAAGAGGTTAAGATTGATTGGCATATTTATTCAAAATCACATGCGTTACCACAACTGCACTTGTCTTGCATTTATATCCAAGGTCTACTTTAAATATGTTCTCGCAGGACCTATTGTCACTATGTCCTTGCCAAATGTTTTGGCAACAGATATGTTGTATAGAATTCCTGTAGCAGAACCCTTGGTCACAGGCCATAGGAAGTAGGCTAACTGTTATGGCACATGCAGACATATAAAGTACAGTGAGGGAAATTTATCAAAACTAGAGCAGACTCTCAGGGCCTGTTCACATGAGTTTCAGGTCCTGATCAGGTCCGGATCTGCAGACGCGGTGCTACTGATGCAGTGCGTTTTGGCCGCGTTTTTGATGCGTTCCAGTAAAAAAAAAAAAAAATTTTGCTGGAGTGGGGCTGTTAGTATGTTAGCTGCAGTGCAGTGCGTTTTTGAAGCGTTTGCATTTCCCGACCGTTTCCTGACCGTACAAAATGTGACATGCAGTATTTTTTTGTCGTAAGCTGAACAGACTTAGCACGTGAGAACTGTAGCCCATAAAACACATAGGGATACATTGGGATGCATTTTGAGTGCAGGAGCGTACGGATCAGGTCAGCACACAAAACGGACGTCGTGTGAACAGGCCCTCAGAGTTAGACAACACCGGCCCAAGAGACATTGCAAGACTGTCAATTACAGGTATCACTCCCAGAGACAGAGGCATGTTGGGATTTGTATTTAAAGCACAGCTGGACGGCTAGAGTTGCCCACCCTTGCAAAATCTGGAGCAGTTGTACATGGCAATCAGCTTCTATCTTTTAATTTCAAAGCTTATCTGAACAAACTGAAGAGATAATCTGATTGGTTACTGTGTACAAAGGATCCAAATTCTGTCTGCCACAATTTTAATAAATTCCCCCAAGGGGTAGTAATATGGACTCATATTCAAACTTAAATCACAAGGATTTAAAGATAAAGTCCTGTTTTGGAAAAAAAAAAATACATGCACACTATATATTAGGGATGCACAGATACTTTTCGAGTACCAATGCCGATACTTGGCATTTTCATGAGAACTACCAGGGTTGCAGTGGTTGCAGCTGGGACCTGGCTATGGCACTCCACCACTGATATACTTTTGGCAATATAGTGTGTGTGTGTGTATATACACTGATTTGTTTGTATTGGTGACATTCAGAAATGTAATATTGTATTTTGAGCTGTAGATGGCGCTGTGGTGCAAAGCTAGTCTGTATGCTATTTGTCTATGTTATACACAGGAAGTTATATCTGCATATATGTTTTTCTCTTTATGATCTATATGTTTCCTGTTTAATGATGTATTGCTATATACATGTATGGAACGTTCTTCTAAGCAAGTAAAACTTAATTCAGCATCCCACAATATCTCAGTGCTTCATCTAAACACATAACCAACACAAGAAATGCTCAAAAACGAACAAAATACGCTAGACGGAAACGCACGTAAAAATACGCAAAAACGATACCACCATGATCAGTGGATGGTAGGTGCAATCCTCTGCCTACTGCAGACTCTTCATCCTGTCCTTGTCTGTATGGTCACATGTGTCTGTATGCCATTTTCGGCAATAAAAACCTGACAGGTGTTCTAATCCCTCACCATAAAAAGTTTTGCCTTCAGTTGCAGTTTTAGCTGTGTGAAGTGTTTGTGTGTCAGAGTTTTAGGAGGAGTACGGTAGCACCTGAACGTGCATGTGGAGGCGGGGTAAGTAGACACAATACGGTAACAGCTGAAAACACTGGTAGAGCAGGAAAGCTGCAGCCTGTCCCCGCCTCTCCCCAGTACTGTGGCTGCGATGAGATCCCATGGCCGCTTTGTAATGTACGGGGGAGACCAGAAGAGCCCTGGAGCCTCCACTTAGGGGCTATGTACGGGGGGCTTCCGTCTTCACCAGGGAGTAAGTGCTGCACGAGGGCCAACACCGGTGCCTTGTCTCTGTCACAGCTGAGAGGGGGAGAGGCCCCCGGAGGGACCCGGAAGCACAAGTGAACTACAAGAAGTGTCTACTTGTTGTGCTGTATGGGCAGACGGGCACTGGGAATGGGGGATCAGCATGAGGAGCTGCAGGATACACAGCACATGCACATTGTCAGCAGTGAAGAGGAGGAGGGGGATGACGACGAGGAGGAGGAAGAAGAAGAGGAGGAGAAGGATGAGGGCACCGACAGGGGTGTGCTGGCAGACCCCTATTGTGTTGTCATTGAATCCCAGGCACTGGGCACTGGTAAGGAACAGGTGGACGACCACGATTCGGAGGAGAGTGATCGGCCGATAGACGCCGGGGAGTCGGCACCGGGCAGGTTTACAAGAGAGGTGATGGTGGGCAGCTCGGTCGGGCACAAGCCCAAGAAGAGATGTAGCGTTCTTTGCACTGTATACTGCGTGGAGAGTGACTTGTCTGGGGAGATCCCCCCTCTTTTCACACAACAGGAGTCCCGCAGATTGTCTGATACCCCTTCCCGGAGCTCTCTACACCGGCCCAATGCTGAACTAGCCCTCAGTCCTGCCAGCCTGGAGCTGTCCCCCTTCCTGATCAGCAGCCTGGGAGATGCCAACCACAAGGTGGTGATGAGCTGCCGGGTGTGCTTAGAGGACAAGTCCATCAAACCTCTTCCCTGCTGCAAGAAAGGGGTTTGTGAAGAGTGTCTCAAGAGGTATTTGAGCTCTCAGGTAATGAGCTTTCATATGCTGCCCTTTGCTAAACATCAGTCACCTGGTTGTATGTCTGTTGTGGAGGTTTTGTACTTTTGTCTGTTTCATATAGTCTTAAAGGAGAACGCCAGACACAATTTTTTTTATTAACCCCTGCAGTGGGGCTACCCCTGCACTGGTCTAGGTAGGAAAAAAAAAAACAAAGTTATACGCACTTGTTCTTCGGGGCCAGGGTGTCCTTAGACCGGTCCTTCCATCCTCAATCTCCCTCCGCTGCAGTGGTCTAGTGTCCCCGAGTCACTATATTCTATACACTGTGTATAGGAAGTGAGGATGCCGAGGGATATACCGTCGGTGGAGGGAGTGAGCACGGTCATAGCCGGCCGCCGCTTTGGATCAGGCGAGTATAACTTTATTTTCCTCCCTAGACCAAAACAAGCTTCTAACCCTTGCAGTGTGGGGGTAGCCCCACTACAAGGGTGAATAAAAACTTTGCCCAGAGTTGTTGTTCTTAGAATCCTGTTCACACATTCGATTTGAGATCGTTCGTCAGAGCATTTGATCTTGCATAACTTAATTTTATCCAGACCTGCTAATTGAATGGAATCCCGGCCATAATAAACCGGTTTCTTTTGTGCCTAGCACATGCACGTTATAATATTTTGTTTCTTCCTGGATGAAAAATGATTATAATTTTGTTCTTGCATAAAAGAAATGAGGAAAATGTAATTTAAACCCCCACCAACTATTACAAAATGTAAAGTTTTTTGAACAAAAGCCTACGGGTGAATGGCCAGCTTTTGTGTACAAGTTCTAGTTCCAGGTGCATAGTACCCCCAGAGATAGAATTTCAGTCTATTCCTGCTGAATTGGCAAAAAAATTGACCTCTGGGTGGCGGTGCCATCACTGCCCGATTCAAGGAAAGTTGATTTTTAAAATGACTTTTGTCAGCAAACCAGTGACTGCAGCCAGTCAGCTGACAGCAGCAGACACTAGCTGTTGGAATGCAATAGCTTGTTGACCAGTAGGAGAAGGAGACCCTTACATTGTTGGCTAGTAGGAGAAAGGGCCTCTTCCATCGTTAGCCAATAGAAGGACTCATCTGCATTGTTGGCCAGTATTAGAAGGACCCACTACATTGTAGATGAGTCCTTCTATTGGCCAACAACATAGGGGGGTCCTCCTCATACTGGCCAACATTGTAGAGGAGTCCTTCTATTGGCCAACAATGTTGGCCAGTATGAGAAGGACCCCCCCCTACATTGTTGGCTAATAGAAGATCTCCTCTACATTGTTGGCCAGTATGAGGAAGGACCCCTCTATATTGTTGGCCAGTAGAAGGAACCCCCTACATTGTTGATCAGTTTCAAGGCCCCCTTAGCCCTCGTTCACACCTGAACGTTTTGTAGCGCGTTCTACGCTCGACGAACGCTCTACAAAACGCTCAAAAATATAAATCCCATTGTATTCAATGGTCTCGTTCCCACCTTGGCGTATCTCCGCCCGTCCTTAACGCGCTACAAAACGGCCCACGCCTGAAAAGGTACATGTACTACTTTGGGCCGTTTTGTTGCGCGTTTCCATTGGGATACAGCCAAGTAGCCTTCGGAAACGCACGACGGTCGCGCGACTTTTTTTTACCGGTCGCGCATATGCAATACGCCTACGTATGAACGAGACCTTACAGACAGCTAAAAATATAGTTGATGACCGTGGTTAGACATTATTCTGAGAGATAGAAATGATTAATTTCTCAAGCAACTCCTAGCAACCTCTTGAGGAACCCTTGTTGAGAAAGGCTTCTCTAGTAAGTCTGCACTCTTGGCAGTTGTAGCATTGCTTATTCTGAATACTGTGTATGGCTGTGTTATCAAGTGCTGCAGTTGAGGCGCCGTATACCATATAAGTTGACAACCAATACCTTTGAACAGGCCTGGATGACTCCCAGGTGCCAGATAGCCAATGCTCCTTAAAAATAACAGTTGGCACCTAACATTTGAGGTTTCCTTTTAGTTGTCAGTGGAGCCGGCTCCTAAATAAGAAAATATCCTGCTGACTCCAGGATTGGACAGACTGGCTCCTGCATTCCATATTAATTTGTTGACCCCTACCTTAGAAACTTGTGGTGTTTTTTGTTGTTTTGCAGGGAGGAAAATATTGCTCTGGTTTAAAGTGCAATGGCTTTGCAGGCCAATTGTTTACACTATAAGACAGCAGTAACAGCAGGAGGCCTTGTGGAATAATCCGAATATTGTGATTGCAATGCCAAGTTGTAGTATTGCAGCATAGCTTCGGGTTTTTTTTTTTTATCTTCCTCCAGACTTGTTACAAGCTAGGAAGTCAGATCTTACTATTGTGTTTCAGTAGAAGTTTCACCCACCCCCCTTTGGTTTTGGTGACAGGGTCACTTCCTGTGTGGCTGCCTGTTTTATCTTTCTGCTAGGAAAACAACCTGTCCCAGGCACACAGCATGACTTCAGATAATGTAAGAGGATGTGGGCATTTATTTTCTTTTTCACTCCATTCGTTCCTTTTTTTTTCCAGTAGTAAAAAAAGAGAAAGTTTACTAGATGGTTACTTGATTTATTTTTGTTAAATCATTTTTTTTAAATTATTAAGTGAACTATAATCAGTTCTATGCCATAATAAACCATCTCATGGAGCTCTAACTATGTTTTTGGATGTAAATAGATTAGAAAACTGGACGTTCTATTATTTACTATAAAGCAATATGTTCATTTAGCTTTAGGTACTTCGGGGGTTGTCACTTTTTATCTGGATACTGGAGTCTATTTGGAGCCGTTGCCCATTGCAACCTTTCAGATTTCAGTTGAAACAAGAAACTTGAGGATATCTAACTAGGCTAGATCGACTCTATTGTATAGCTGCGTAGTTTGTGTGTCAGCCCCATGCCTGTTTGCTGTAGAACATCTGCACTTTTGCATTACATTGGAGTCTATTTTTTGTTAATGTAGCAAAAAAGAAGAATAGTACCTACTCGCATGCTTCCTCGAATTTCGCAGACATAGTGCACCTTTTGCTGAAAATACGGCTCCATCTTTGCAGAAAATATATGTTAAAAAAATAAAATATATGCATACATACACACACACGTACATACATACATACATACATACATACATACATACACTGTTGTGTGTGTGTGAGAATTTGCTGCATTTTGTATTAAGGCCTGCAGAGCATTGCAGTAGCAATCCGTGCATCACGGGTGCAATGCACGGGCCCTTGCATTGTTTCCCTCCAGGTCCATGCTAAGGAATGGATCGTCTGTTATTGGGCTGAAAGTGCTGACTGGACTACAATTGTGGTGACATCAACCTTCGGCTGATGTCAGAATACCCAACAGTGCTTGCTGTTGATTTGCTGCAAGCTCAGTTTGGCCAAAGATTTTTCCAGCTGGTTCCTTCCATCTTCCAATCATGGCATGCTGAGCGGAAGGGTGCCGACAGCAGCACCCACTGGCAAATTTTAGATGGTTCATCAAGAACCGGCTGAAATTCGCATAGTGTAGATGTTCACACATCCAGCAGTGATCTGTGCTGCGCTTTACATGGTCAAAACTAGGACACATGGAAAACAATTGTTTTCCATCTCTCCCATTTATACTACAATGCGGGTGTGATGGCGAGGTGCTGCACTGCGATAAAATGCAAATATGCTGCATTTTATTGTAGCACACTGGATCCCACCGCAGGTCACCACCGAGAGCGCAGTGGATCACATTGTACACTCCACAAAAGTAATTTTAAAAAATCCAGCAGTGTAAAATACAATGCCCACTACTGGAGATGCGACATCGCAGTAGGCCGTTCACTGAAAAATTATGCTCATATATATTACTGCTTATGTACCCTGACTTACAGTAAGTCCTGCAAGACAGTACAAATACTCCAAGCTTCAATTGCACTTGAACAAATTAGACAACAGTAAAAACAAGAGGTGTGTACCTTTTTGTGTAGGCATGTTCTTCCAGTCATGTAAATAATGTTCACATCATTGTGAACAAACATTGGCTCATCCAAGCAGCACGTGGGTCCTTTCATACTGAACACAATTAATCAATGCATGAGGCCATAAGCAGTGCATTGTGACAAGACTCATTTCATAAAGCTCCATATAAATCACCAACATCAAGAAAATATGCCAAAATGAAGAAGACTTTAATTATTCAGAAATGACATCATTGCGTAATGATGTTAGGATTGCAATGGAACAGGTGCTGCTGCACACAGACCTCTATGGTGTGTAACAGGAATAGACATGGGGAATCTGCTGTTTTTTTAAGGGTTTCACTAGATAATTGTGTATTGGTAGTACTGTGTTGTCTTAAGGCAGCCCCTATGAAAATAAATGGGCTGTCAGTGCATCCTAACATTAAACCCCCCCCCCCACAGATGACTGTGTCGTGACATGCTACAATCCAGGATCTTTGCCTTAGTGTGTTGTGGCATCATTCAAAATTAATGGCACCACAATGCATGTTATGTGCCATAAAGCCCCATGCTGGAAACAGCAGACATTTTGGATATGTAAATTGACTGCAGATGTCATTATGGAATGGGAGCAGCAGTCAACACACGCATATATTGCCCTATGCGTGCGTTTATTCACATGCAGATGCCGGGGTTGGTCTTATTTAATTTTTATCTATTTTATAAATTTTTACCTTATTACTTTTTTAATTTGATTTTTATTTATATTGGGGTTTTTTTAAAAACGTTTTTATCACTTTTTTTTTTTAACCTACATTTTTTTGCTATAACACAGGGGCTGACAAAGCCCTGTGTGATAGTGTTTGGAGATGACAGGTTCTCTTTATGGAGCCTGTTCTGCAGTACAGAAGATGGAGCTTAGCATTGTGTTCGATCTCCTGTACAGCCCGCCTTGTGACAGCTGGGTCAGGAAGGCTGCGAGTACAGCGCTCTTGTGTCACTGATCACACAGAGCAGATCGGAGAACGGACGTTGGCCACATTATAAGTAGTTGTATTTTTTTT